GCTCAGTGGTTGAGTGTCAACCTATGAATCAGGAAGTAATGGTTCAATTCCCAGTTAGGGCACATGCCAGGGTTGTGGGCTTGATCCCCAATATGAGGCATGCAGGAAGCAGCCTATCAAAGATACTCTCTCATCATTGATGTTTCCATCTCTCTCTCCTTTTAAATATATTTTTTATTGATTTCAGAGAGGAAGGGAGAAGTAGAAACATCAATCCCTACTGGGGATTGAGCCTGCAACACGGGTATGTGCCCTTTACTGGAATCGAACCCAGGACCCTTCATTCCACAGGCCAATGCTCTATCCACTGAGCCAAACCAGCTAGGGAAAATTATATATTTGTAAAAGTTTGTTGTTTAGTTTCCACAATTTTGTGAAATTTCCAGTTTTATGTTATCCTATATCAGTGATGGCAAACCTATGACATGCGAACTCATTTTTTTGGTTGATTTTTCTTTGTTAAATGGCATTTAAATATATAAAATAAATATCAAAAATATAAGTTTTTGTTTTACTATGGTTGCGAATATAAAAAAAATTTCTATATGTGACATGGCACCAGAGTTAAGTTAGGGTTTTTCAAAATGCTGACACGCCGAGCTCAAAAGGTTCGCCATCACTGTCCTATATAATAAAAGCTTAATATGCTAAGTCTGGTGATTTGGTTGGCCATTCAACCAATCAAAGTGTAATATGTTAATGATATGCTAAGGCCACTCAACCGCTTGCTATGACATGCACTGATCACCAGGGAGCAGATGCTCCGATTGGTGGCTTAGCTGGCTGCTGGGGTCTGGCTGATCGGGACTGAGCGAGATATGCCAGACATGCCTTGAAGCCTTCCCATGGTCCCTCCCCAACCCCATTTGTGCACCGGTGGGGTCTTGGCCTGGCCTGTGCCTTCTTGCAATCCAGGACCCCTTAGGGGATGTCAGAGAGCCACTTTTGGCCCAATCCTGCAGGCCAGACTGAGAGACTCAACTGGTGCATGAATTCATGCACTGGGCCTCTAGTTGATTTATAACTTCATCCCATTGTGATCAGAGAAGATACTCTGTATATCTATCTTTTAAAATATATTGAGACTTATTCTGTGACCTAACATGATCTATTCTGGATAATGCCCCATATGCACTTGAGATAATTTGTAGGCTGTTAGTTTTGGGTGGAGTGTTCTGTATGTGTGTGTTCTACTAACTGGTTTATTGTGTTGTTTAAATTCTCACCATCCTTTTTTATCTTCTGTCTGGTTGTTCAATTTATTCTTGTGAATGGGGTATTAAAGTCTTCAATTATTTTTCTAGAAAGGTCTCTCCAATTCTGTCAGTTTTTCTTTCATATATTTTGATGGTCTGCTATAGTTTGTAATTGTCATATATTCTTTATGTAGTAAGCCCTTTATTAATATATAATGTTTTTGCCTCTTGTAATCTCTTTTTTTATTTAAAGTCTGTTTTGTCTGATATTAGTATAGCAACTCATGCTCTCTTTTGGTTACAATTTGCATGAAATAACTTTTTCCATCCTTCTCTTTCAATGATGTTGTGTCTTTGGATCTCAATTGAGTCTCTGTAGACAGGATATAGTTGGTTCTTCCAGTCTCTGTTTTTTGACTGGGGACTTTAATCCATTTGCATTTAAAGTAATTACTGACAAAGAGGGACTTACTCCTGTCATTATGAAATTTGTTTTCTATATGCTCTAAAACTTTTTTGTCCCTCATTTCCAGCATTCTGTTTTATGTTATGTTTAGTTGATTTTTTTTTTAGTGAAATGTTAATCTCCTTTTGTGTATATTCTACAGCTATTTTTTGTGGTAACCATGGGTATTACATTTAATTTTAATGTTAAAACATTCTAATTTTAATTTATACTTTTCTTTCTTAACCTTGTATAAGATATCAATCTAAAATTTCCAGACCAAACCATAAACTTAATAGTAAACCAAGCATTTCCATTAAAATAAAATAGAATAAAATAATAAAATAAAATAAAATAGACCTAGCAAGACCTAGCATAATTTTTACTGGTTTCCAGCTGCTGCAATAAGAAAAACATAAAAGACAAAAGATAGGAAAAGTAGGGATGAAGCAATCTTATTTGAAAAAAAATGCTTTAAAAAAAATATAGGACAGAGAACCAAGATGGCAGTGTAGGTAAACGCTAGTACTCATAGCCTCCCACAACCACATCAAAATTACAACTAAAATACAGAATGACCACCATTCAAAACCACCTGAAATCTGACTGAATGGAAGTCTTGCAACTAGAGAAGTAAAGAAGAAAGCATGCCAAGACTGGTAGGAGGGGTGTAGGCATGGAACGGGCTGGTCCTACACCCATCTGTGGCATGCTTTTAATTGGGAGGGGTATCTAGGCTCCTCCCATGAGGAGTAAGGGGCTCCAGTGCCACACCAGACCACCCTTCAGCCTAGGGTCCCAGTGCTGGACAGAGAAGCCCCTATAACTTCAGGCTGTGAAAATCAGTGGGAATTATGGCTCAGTGATTCGGAGGTTGCTGATATCCCAAGCAGTCCTCTTAAAGGGCCAGTACATGAACTTACATGGTCCTGCTCCCTCTGAGCTCTAGCACTGGGGCAATGGCTTAGGATCTATGGACATAAAGGGAGAAATTGGATTGTCTGGCATCAGAGAAAGGAGCTGCATTCTTCCAGACAGAGGTGCTTTCAGGGGTGATTGTTCCTATGCTGAGACCTCCCCTGAGTTTCCATATGAGAAGCCATATCTGAGTTTCCATAAGCCTGATTCACACTGTCCACTCAGCCCTGGTTATTCCCTGAGGCCCCATCCCATCCAAGTTGCAGCCCCATCCAAGCTGTTTTCTGTGGCTTTTCCATTTGAATGGCCTGTCCTGGATCAGGCTTCAGGCTTTTCTAAAATTCCTCAAACAAGCTGGTGTGAGCATGCCCCATACCTATCAATAAGAGGCCCAAGACATCTTGGCCTCACCTGGGTACTTTCAAGCCCAAGACAAGCAGCAGCCATATGCAGATTGCTCTGTAGCTCCTGATGGGTGGCCTCAGGTAGTGACTGACTTTGCACCTCCTGGGAGGCCTCAGAGCCAGGGCACCTGGTGGACAGATTCAGACCATACCAGATTACAACTCTTCACACACACAAGAAACACACTCAAGGGGAAGACTCAGTGAGCACTAAAGCCCCAATGAAGCAAGTCCTGCTCCATAGGGGTGTCCCCTGTATAGAGGTGGTCCTCACAGCCAATTGGCCTGGAGGGTCAACTTCTCCCAGTGGCCCAACAGCAATCAAGGCTCAACTACAACAAGACTGTGCACACATCCCACACAGGGGTGCATCTAGAGTGCCCAGCTCAGGTTACTGAGGAGACTGAGCCACTGGGCCCTACAGGACACATATTACACAAAGCCACCCTACCAATTCCAGGAGACACAGTAGCTCTAATACATAGAAACAAACACATGGAAGCAGCCAAAATGCGGGGACAAAGAAACATGCCACAAATGAAAGAATAGAAGAAATCTCCAGAAAAAGAACTAAATGAAATGAAAGCAAACAAACTACTAGATACAGAATTCAAAACAATGGTTATAAGATTGCTCAAGGATCTTAATAATGAGAGCTTCAAAGATCTTAGTGAGAATTTTAAGAGATGTGAAAAAGGACCAGTCAGATATTAAGCATACACTAACTGAAATAAAGAATAATTTACAGGGATTCAACAATAGAATAGAGGATTTTGAAAATCAAATCGATGATTTAAAATATGAGGAAGCAAAAAACACCCAAATCAGAAGAGCAAAAAAAAAAAAAAGGATAATAAAAAAATATGAAGATAGTGTAAGGAGCCTCTGGGACAACTTCAAGCACACCAAAATTCACATTATGGGTGTGCCAGAAGGAGAAGAGAAAGATCAAGATATTGAAAACCTATTTGAAGAAATAATGACAGTAATCTTCTCCTAACTGGTGAAAGAAATAGACTTACAAGTCCAGGAACCCAAACACGAAGAACCCAAAGAGGCCCACACCAAGACACATCATAATTAAAATGACAAAGGTTAAAGACAAAGAGAAAAATCTTAAAAGCAGCCGGAGAAAAGCAGTTAGGAAGAAGAAGAAGAAAAGGAAGCAGCAGTAACAAAAGAAAAAAGATAAAAAATATGAACAATAAAAAGGCAATAAATACATATTTATCAACAATTGAATCTAAAAAAATGAACAAAGAATCTAATGAACAAAATAAACTGATGAATGAAATAGAACTGGGGTGTGGAACAGACTGATGAATCTCAGAGGAAAGGGAGGGGAGAGTGATTAACCAAAGAACTTGTATGCATATATGCATTACTTATGGACACAGACAATATGGTGATGAAGACCTGGGCCAGGGGCAGGAACTGGGTGAATGGGACAATGAGGGGGTGGGTGGAAGGGGACATCTGTAATACTCTCACAATATTTTTAAAAAATAAAGAAAACTGAAAAATCTCAAAGGAAAAAGAATATATAGAACAGTACAATAATCAATTGACCAGCTATTAAAAATTAGTTCTATGAGGTGGCTAGAAACAAGGTCAATGCGCAAAAATCAAAACTATGACTGATTAGCAAATGCAACTTAAAAACATCTTTTACTTAACCATAAAAATTCTGAGTACAAACCTACAAAGAAAATACAAGGCTTTTAGGTACAAAATGAGAATAGCTAGTAGGTTTTTTTAATAGGCTAAAAAGATTACTTTAAATTTACTATCTTAGGAAACTTTGAAAATTTTGGTCTTGATAAACTAAATATTAAGTCCACACTCAAAGTAGAAGTAACTATTTCTTTATATACAACAAAGCCAGCCAGGGATAAATCAAAACTCCACACTGACAGAGAAATAGGTTGGGATTGTAGTCCTCAGATACCTGCAACACTTTCTTTCCTTAGTGCCATAGAGCCACCATCCTTCCACAAGCTCCAAAAAAGGGATTGATGCTGCATTTTGTTTTCTTACCTGTTTGGGAGATGAGTCCCCATCCTGTAACCCAGCAGGTAAGGTTCTCAAGGTTCATGTCTGGGGTTGCAATGCAGATGGGGAGTACAGAGTCAGAAAATACAATTGGACTTTTCAGCTGCACCAGAGCGACGTCACCTCCAATAGGGTGGAACACTTCATATGTATGATGTATAATAATCTTATTCACCTCAAACCACTGGGTATGATGGCCTGCGAGCTTGAGGTCCACAAGGCCCACGTACATATCAAATGCCTCAGTGCGCCTGTCCCTGTGGGACAGAGAACAAAGGCACGGTGGCTCAAGCACCTTGAATCTGGGGAGAGGAGCCACCATTAGCTCACCGACATAGGGAGGCCTGGGAGCGTGGCAGCTTGGTATTCAGGCTCTCAGTCAAGTTGTGGAAAAGTAATCCCTTGAAGGACAGTGGGGACTTGGTTGTTTGGAAGAATTACCCCCAAAGAAGTCTTGACCTGGGCCCATGGAGAATCTGGGGAACCATCAGGATCTGCTGGCCACCAACAGCCTAGGATGAGCTTGTCAGGTGTAAAGTGGCCTGTCCAGAAGTAAGTCTCTCCTCGGCTCTCACCCTGTTATGTGCCTCTTCTCCTTCCCTCCTGATATGTCCCCTCTCCTGTCAGCCTCTTAGTCTCCTCTCCTCCCATCTTATTGTGATGTATTTCCTCTCCTCCTATGACTATCTCCTCTCCTCCCATCCTATGATGTGTCTTCTCTCCTTTCATACTATGATGTGGCCCCTCCAGTCTCTCCTGTGATGTGTCTCAGCTGTCCTATGGTGTGTCTCCTCTCCTCACCTCTCATTCTATGATTTTGCTCCACACCTATCTCAAAGAACAGATGGTCTTAAGGACCCCTCAGCCCTGTGTTGGGAGAAGTTAAAGAGGATGGAGCTGTGTGCTGGACCCATTCTCTCTCCAATTCCATGTAGTCCCAGCTCGACCTGTCTTGGATGGTCAGCCTCAAGGTCCCTGGATCTCCACGGGAATGGCCAGCACCACTCACTTGTTAAAGCAGTGGGCTGCTGTCAGGATCCAGTACTCATTGAGGATGGACCCACCGCAGATGTGGAAGCCCCCATAGTGCACGCTGACCTGCCACGGCCACTTCTCCTCAGGGGCGTCCACGCCCCCTACGACCTTCCCCTGCATGTGACGCTGGCCACAGGCTGAGTGGAGAGATACAGAGCGTGTGAGTAGCAGCTATGCAGGAGCAGGCCAGGCCATGAGCAAAAGGGAGGGAGGATCTGGCAGTGCACAAGAAGTGTGTGTGTTGGGACGGGGAGTGGGGGGCGGAGGGAAGGGGAGGCTGGGATAATAGGAAAGTGGAGAGAAGGATAGGAGAGAACAGGGGAGGGCGAGAAGGGAAGATAAGGCAAGGGAAAGGGCTCTCCAACCAGGAAGGCAAGGGGAGGGAGGATGGCCTCAAGAACCACTCCCAACCCCGTTGGGAGGGGTCCTACCCACATCCTGGCTCAAGGTGATCCCTTCACTGTCTCGGTGCCTGTGGGGCAGAAGGAACAGCAGCAGCAGGAAGAGGCCCGAGGCTTTGCTCGAAGCTCCAGGCCCAGCACCATGGCAGGAGGACGGGGTGGCCATGAGGCTGAAGGCCCCCGGGGTGCGGTGGCTGGAGCCGGCTGGACTCACCATGGCTGCGGCCTCGCGATGTGTGATGGCGCCAGCGCACGCGACACTTGACAGTACCAACGCCAGCGCCTCGCGCCCGTGCTGGAACCCTAAACACGTGGTTTTGCCCCTGTGTCTCAGGCACCAGTTGGTGCTCCTCTCCACCCGCTATCTGGACCCCCCCGGGGCCCTGGCAAGCCACCACTCGCTCACATGCACGTGGAGGCAGCTCCCAGCAGCCTGCTTCCCGGGTGATAGACTCTTGGTGTCCTCACACCCAGGTCAGCTGTGGTTGGTGGTTTCCAGTGGTCTCACACCAGGGGCGGCTGTGGTCAGTGGTCTCTGGTGGTCTCCCTCCGGGTCAGGTGGCTGGTTCTTGGCTGATGCAATGGGGATAACTTCATACCGTGTCTACCAACACCCAGCCAGCAAGTTCGGGTTTGGGCATAGGACGCAGTATTACGGACAAGTGCAAGCAAAATTCCCACCTATTTACTAATGTGACATTGAACAAAGCAAGTGATATTACTATCAGAGAAGAAAGGGTGGGGAAGGTACACTATGCCCTGAAGTTGTGCTGTCGTGACAGTATGTACACAAATGAACAGCACTGCCTTCCAAGAAAACGTTATTTCCAAATACAAATTTGAATTTCATGTGAAGTTTACATCCCACAACATATTCTTTTGTTTTCCCCCAAGCATAAAAAAATGTAAAAACCATTCTTAGTTCACGAGTTATATAGAAACAGGTAGTTTGCCAGTCTCTAGGTGTTTCATATATATACAGGGTACAAACACTGCCTTTATAATTATTCAACGTGTGTATCCATTTTGGGGGAGGTATATATTTGTTGTAGTTTAATCCTTTATTTGGATGTGGTCCTTTCCATAAAATTATTTCCCCCAGGATTTATTTTATTTTTTAATTGAATTTATTGGGGTGATATTGGTTAATAAAATTATATAGGCTGCATTTATACAATTATACAATACATATCTGTATATTGTATTGTGTTTACCACCCCAAGTCGAGTCTCCTTCCGTCACTATTTATCTCCCTTTCACCCTCTTCTACCTCCCCCGATCCCTTTCCCCCATGCATATATTTAAATAGGTTTTACTTTTTTGAAAGAAGTTTTAGAATCACAGCAAAATTAATTAGAAGATACTAAGGTCTACAATGGGGGAAGCTATGAATGTGTGGTATTAGGAAATCTTTATATTTCTTGATATTAATCCCTTGTCTTTTACAGATGATCTCTGACTTATAATGGTTTGGCCTAATGATTTTTTTTACTTTACAACCATGTGAAAGTGATACCCATACACATTCTGTGTGTCACTTTCAGTACAGTATTCAATAAATACATGAAGTATTCAACACTTCAATATAAAATAGACTTTGTGTTTGATGATTTTGCCCAAGTCTAGGCTAATGTAAATGTTGAGCATGTTTTAGTTAGGCTAGTCTAAGGAATGATGTTTGGTAGGTTATGTGTATTAAATGCATTTTTTACTTATATTTTCAACTTATGATGGGTTTATTGACATGTAATCTCATTGTAAATTGAGGAACATCTGTAATATATTGCCAATAATTTCTCTTCCTTTATGGTTACTTGCACTTTAATATGTTAAATATGTTTCAAGTGTGTTCATAATTGCTCAATGGAGAATTTTTATGATAGCTGCTTTAAAATCTTTGTCCAATAATTCAAACAATATGTTAGCTTAATGTCTATTGATTGTCTTTTCTTATTGGAGTTGAGATTTTCCTAGTTCTCAATGTAACAAGTAATTTCGGACTGTATCCTGTGCACTTTGAGTATAAATTTTTAAGGCTCTGGTTCCCACTTAAGTCTAATTTAGCAGGTAGTCAACCTGACAAGTCAGAATGTATATCTGGCTCACTTTAGTGGACTGTGATTCCAATAGTAGTTGAGTTTATAAAGTGTCTGGAAAGGGATGCTGCTAAACATTCTATAAGGCACAGGACACCTTCCAAAAACAATAAATTTCCCAGCCTTAAATGTCAGCAATGCTGAGTTGAGATATCTTGGCCCATATGCTCAACAGGGGCCACCTTAATTGCTGGGAAAGGGCTTGAAAAATAGCCTCCCATCAATGAAGCCAGCTTCTTCAGTGAATTTTGGAGGACAGAGAAGTGCAGCTTCTCTCAGAGCAGGCATATGGTGAGAAGGTTTCTGTCATGTTGTCCCACCCTTTCCTGGCCCTTAGCTTTTCTGATGGCTGGTGTGTGTTACCGCACAAATAACCCCAAGTCCACATGGGGAAAGAAACACCCCAGGGATCTCCCCACTGGATTCTCCTTTCAGTTTTGAGATCCCTAGTCTACCTCCTTTTGTCCACCTTACAGAATCTTTTGGTAAGTGACTTGTGGTGTTGTGATTAGTGGCATAAATAAAATGGAATGTATTCATCATTTCTGTCTTAAACCTTAAAGAACTGGAAGTACTTCATAACTTAATTTATCTTCCTTCTCCTAGCTGAGTTTGTTTCCCACAAATTGCAGTTTTCAACTTGATTGACTTGGTGTTTATTTTTCATGTTAGAGGCCCTTTTTAGATGTCTGGTATTTCTTTGTCTTCAACTTGAAATTAAGACAGCTAGAACAAGAAGTGATTGGAAACTCTGGGCTGTTGATGTGGCTTACTTACTTTGATCTTCTCAGTGAGAGAACTGGGTGAGTCATGGGAAGCTGCAGATATCAGTATCTTTATATCATCTCTCATGGGCTTGTTAGCTTCACAGATAACAACAAATTCTTTCTTGAATGGTGAGGATCTTATTGCAGGGTTCTGGCAGCTTAGGTAGAAGGTGCCTGTGTCTAAACATTCTGCATTAAGTATGTTCATCATCTCCTAACCTTCCATTGTTGACATCCAGGGCCCTAAACTGTTCCTGGGACTCCCCAGTGTGGATTATCTCTTTTACTCTCTGCAGAAACCAAAACTCCAGATTTCTGCAATAGTAAGCTACATTAGTCCAGAGGTATGGAGTGGGGAGAAGGCTTAGCTATATAGTAATTGCTTTCAAATAGTCCCCCCGCTCCCTCCAATACTCCTAGGGTTAGCATTCCATCCCATAGATCTAAACATACTGCTTCTTTTTGAGAATTCTGTTATATATAGATCATGATGTTTTCAGCTTTCTTTATGGCCCATCCAATTCTATTAGGTCAATTACTATTTATAGACCTTTCATTCAGCCATAAAATCTTTCTGTTAAGGTAAAACTTACACACAATAAAATTGATCCAGTTATGCAGGTTTTGACAGCCAAGCTATAAAAGAGTTCCACTGCCCTGCCCAGTCTCCTCTGCCCCCAAATATTCAAGCCCTCCTACCTCCAGCCCCTTGAAACAATTAATGTAGTTTTCCACCCACATAGTTTTGCCTTTGTTCCAGAGTATCATATATATAGTCTTTAGAGTCTGACCTCTTCTAGTTAGCATACTACATTTGAGATTCATCTATAGAATGGTCCGTAAAACCAACTTGGTCTGAAATTTTATTTTCTGAAAGGTTTTTAACTATGAATTCAACTTCTGTAACAGTATATAGGAGTACTCAGGTTATCTATTTCTTCTTGAGTGAATTTTGGTGCTTTGTATCTTCAAGAAAAATAGCCTTTTCACTTGAATTGTTGAATTTATGGGCATAAAGTTATTAGTAAATATTCCCTCTCAATTCCTGTAATAATGACCCTCCTTCATTCCTGATACTGATAGCTTCTGATTATTGTTTTATATGTGAATGCTATTGTTGGTTTGTTTTTGTATGCTACTGTACTGAATTTTCTTTCAACTTGTGATAGTTTCACATTGATTCCCTTTTTGTTATTGAGTTGTAAGATTTTTATAAATTCTTGATACAAGTCTCATCAGATATATGGTGTGCAAATATTTCTCACAGTAGTGTGCTGCCTTTTTACTTTCCTGAATGTGTTCTATGGCACACAGAAGTTTTAATTTTAAAGAAGTCCAATTTATCTCTTTTTTTGCCATTTATACTTTGGAATTTATATCTAAGGAACCATTGCTTAACCTAAGATCATGAAGATTTACTCCTATGTTTTCTTCTAAGTGTTTTCTCATGTTAGTGCTTATATTTAGGTCCATGATTGATTTTTAGTTAAATTTTGTTTGTGAATATCTGTTTGTCCCAGCATTATTTGTTGAAAAGAGTAATCTTTTCCTATTGACTATCTTGGAACCTTTGTCAAAAAACAATTGACCATAAATGTATGGATTTATTTCTGAACTCTTAGTTCTATTCTATTGATGTATGCTTCTGTCCTCATGCCAGTTCTACACTGTCTCAGTTACCATAGTTTTGTAGTAACTGTGTAATCAGGAAATGTAAGTCTTCCAACTTTGTTCTTTTTCAAGATTGTTTTGACTTCTGAGTCCTTTTTCATATTCCTTTTGATCAGTTTGTTAATTCCTGGAGGAAATCCAGCTGAAATTTTGAAAAAGATTGTAATGAATCTGTAGGTAAATTTCGAGAGTATTACCACCCATTATGGGTTGGATTGTGTCCCCTCAACAAATATGTTGAAGTCCTAATCCCAGTACTAGGAATGTGAACTTACTTGCAAATAAAGTCGTTGTAGATATTCTTAGATTGAACATGAAGTCAAACTGTAATAGGGTGGGCCCATAATCCAATATAACGGGTGCCTTTATAAGAAAAGGAGAGAGAAGCATACAGGGAGAAGATGGCCTTAGGAAGACACAGAGATAAATGGAGAGCACAATATGAAGATGGAGGAAGAAATTGGAATAATGCACCTGCAAGCAAAGGAATTCCAATGATTGCTGGCAATCACCAGAAACTAGGGAAGAGACATGGAACAGACACTCCCTCAGAGCCCTCAGAAGGATACAACCCTGCTGACACCTTGATTTCAGACTTCTGGCCTCCTGAACTGTGAGAGAATAAATTTCTGTGGCTCTAAGCCACCAAGTTTGTGAATTTGTTATGGCAGCCCTAGGAAACT